GAAACTGCCTAGGCTCCCACGAAACCAATAGGTCCAGTAGAATCAAAAACCCATTGCCATTGTTCTTGAGGTCTCAGTAGTCCTCCTTGTCCGCTATGTTCACCGAGACCAGTTTTGACCCACCAAGGCCAGCTGGCCTGGGTCAAAAAAAATCTTTAAAAGAACTGTGCTGCATAAAATTTGAAGACTAGCTGTTCCTAAAGAATAACTTGAACCAGGTATTTTTGAAAAACTAATTATTTCTTTAAAATCTTGAGGGTTTAAATATAGCTAAGTGGGGCAGATTTCAGAATTGTTTTCTTCCAGCAGAAACAATAATGTGTTTGCCCTGGTTGTCACACTTTTCCAAAGATACTCAAGCACCAGGACAACCTATTGCAAATGCCTATCCCCTTGCCAGTCTGTACTAGTAGCTCTTCAAAAATAGAAAAAGTATGTTTCATTCCTGGCATGTGTGTGCTAGTACCCATATAGTAGGAACTCAGATAATGATTTATCTATCCCCATTGTTATCTAAAGTAAAGAAAATTAAATAATAACCTTTAGCAGGCACATAAACGTTAGGTAAACTTAATTTAGAGTCAACCGTGCTGCTTAAAAGGAGACATACAACCAAAATTCTAAGGACTGGATTTCCATGTACTAACACACACACACACACACACACACACACACAAATGGATACACAAGAGAAATCCTGTGTAAACAATATGTGTGTGGTTTTTACTTTGTTTATGCCTGTGATTTTACTTTACAAAACATCGTAGAAGAGCAAACAATTCTAAAGAAAACAGTAAAGAGTGATTTTCTACTTTCCACTTTTATTTTTTAAACTACACAATATGCTTAACTTTCAAATTAATTCCTCATCAGCTAAACACACACAAGAAGTCATCTGATGGGAGAGCATCTACTGTTCAAGTGAACTGACAGAAACTTTAGACATTAAGACGGAAGCAGGAAGAAAACCAGAACATGCAATGAGGTTTAAAAGGATCAACAAGGAAGTGCATATGTGTGCGTGTATGCATATGTGTGTGTACATGGGTGTGTGCTTGTGTGTGTGTGTACACACACACGTGTGTGTTAATTCCTATATAACAAAGAACAATCTCCTTTTTAATTTAGTATTTCCTAATTTAAATCATTCATTCATCTGTGTGTGTTCAACATTCATTTATCTTTGAGGAAAAGACTACCCAGAGGCATAATCCATTCCAAAAAGGAAGCCATAAAACTCACTTCCCAAAGCACCAGATGGTGATATAAAAAGCTCCTCACAGACTCTCTAGAGAAAGGAGCAGCTCTGTTGGCAGTGTCTTTGGTCATCCTACTTTATGCCCCACAAGTAAAGCACTCAGCTATCCTGGGAGAAGCTGTGCACTTTAAAGCATGTAGACCTTGCCCACCCCTTTTGTCAGAGGAAAGAAACCCCAGCTTCTGTGAAAGATTTAGAGCCATGTGACCTGAGCCTCTTGGTGGCAGAGTCACTGTCTTCTCCTCTTCATTATCTAGATACTAACATAGTCTAGCAAATAGGAGCTTTATAATGACCCCTAAGTCAATGTAAAACATTTCTTCAAATAGTTCACACTTACACATGTTGACAAAATAACAGATCTGAAAAGAACAAAAATAATCACTTTTGTATTCCCCAGATTGCCATTTTTAATAATAATAGTAACAGCAATAAACAGTAAGTATAGTACCTCAGAAAGACCACTGGTTTTCTTCTGGCCCAAAAATAAGCCGCTGAGTTACCCATAGTGAGCTGCAGGTAGTCTGGCAGTCCATCTCCAGGAGAGAATGGAGGAAAAGTAGTCACAGGGTACGGGGAGTGGCAAATCCTCAATCCTGTGCTACCTTCTCCAGGTAGGAAGCTGCACAGACACATACATCTTGCCAAAATCTAGATTCTATGTATCCCACACTGGTCACAAAAATATTCTTTTCCCTCAAAAACCCATTCTCTCAAACGTACGCTTCAGTACCTCGGGATACCTCCTCTGGTGTCATCATCTCACTGCCTTGTTAAAAGAAGAGCCGTCTTTCCTCCGTGTCATCTGGAAAAGTCTGTCTGTCCCATTTCCCCCCATATGCAATCTGTGGGCAAATCTCATGCTGAAGCCATTCTTCATACTTAGCTTCCAACCTCTTATCTTTCTCTTTTAAAGGTCCCAACTTAATTTAGCTCTTCTGATGAGCTCTTATTTCCTATGTTTTGTTATGCTGGCTTAATCTTCCAAACTAATCATTGTTGGGAGTTAGAGGGAGCAAGAAGTAAAATCAATAAAAATATCAAAGAAATCGTGATGATGAAAACCAACCTTCCATGAACACAGCAAATAACAAAATCAATTCACAATTCTTCTTAACAGTTTTTATCTATCAACAACATATAGTTAATTAGATTTTATACTTCTTCAACTTTAAGATCAAATCAAGTAAAAAAAAAAAGTTTTAAAACATCAGGTTCTGACCTGGGGATATGGGGAGGTCCTGGATTTTGACTTGGTGCTGGATAGCCGCGACTTATTCCCCTTCCTGTTGTCAGTGATGGTGGGGGTGGAGCTACTAGCATAGGAGAAGGTGGGCTTAGAGGCTGAGATCTGGTCCAGGGAGAGCTGCAGACCTTTGTATTCTGTGTCTCTGCAGGGGTGAGAAACAAAGCCTTCAGTCAGCCTCCACAGGGAATAGATTCATGCAAATCACAAGAAAAGATAGTACTTCATATATAAAAAAGAAAGCAAATGTTAGTGGTCAAGCTACCTTTCCCAAACAGCTGCTTTTCTAAAAACCTAGAAATTACAGTCAACAAATGCCTGGGAATGTGACCGCCTTCCATTGATTTTATTAAATAGACGATAAACCTCTTATTTAATTACTCAGAAAAAGTATTTTTAATTAAAAACCTAAAGAGTAAATATAATGACTCAGAAAGCCCTTTAGCTTTCTAGTAGCCCAAGAGAAATCTGCTGAATTACCCCCAGTGAACTTAAGAAGCCCCACAGTCCTTCTCCTGGAAAGAATTGATTGTAAGTGATAAAGAGATTTTGTGTGCCACAGATGGTGCAATATGAATTTTTAAACCTGCCCTAAAGTTTTCCGCGTGAGTGAACTCAACAGACAACCAATGCTCCCAGATCATCAACAACAATATCATTGTGATAAACATTCTAAACATTCCAAACATTCTTATAGACAGCTAGCTTCAAATTAGCCAAAAATCCCTTTCAATGGGCTAAATCAGGTCTCTCAGAGTAAATTTTAACACCATATTTTTCCCATTCTTTCATTCATCAAATAAACATTCATTGCTCCCCTCATAAACCAGATTTTGTGCTACATAGAGATATGAGAATGAAGACGATAACTAGAATGTGTAGTAGATTATAATTTATTCAGGAGAAAAAGAATATACGTACTGACTGCAGATTGGTATGAAGGAACCAAGGAGCTTCTGTTATGAAATCCACTTGGTCTTGCCCACAGGTGTAACCTCAAGGCATTTCAGATATCATCAGATATCACTTGGAATTTTTCATTCTTTTCAGAGAATATCAACCCTACCGTCTAGTCCCCCAAAACAGATTTTTCAGATACTCTTCTTTGTCACCACTTGTGGGTGAAATTTCTTAAGGATTCTAGAACAAACTGGAATGTGCCAAGGTAACTGACTAATTCTTTTTACTCTCTAGAACACTGTGAACTATATATCTCATCATATTTTGTTGACTTGCCCTAGAGGTTTTAAAAATAAAAGCCCCAACTCTAATTTGCAGTCCCCTCTAGAACACTTATGAAGCATTCATACATACAGGCATTTTATGCAAGTTTCCAGCTTCTTCTATTTTTTTCATCTTACTTTTACTTTCTTCATTTATCCTATGATCATTTTCCCATTCTAGCAGACTAGCAAAATCAGGCAAATGGAAAAATATAATTAATGACTTCAAGTTTACTGTAAAGGATGACTTTTAAGTGTTCTTACTATGAAAAGCAAACATTATTTAAGTATATGAGCTAGTATATAAACTACAGATGCTTTAATTTAGCCACTACACAACATATACATATATCAAGAACCCCAGTATATGCTATAAATACATGTAACTTACTTATCAACTCAAAAAGGCAAAAGCATAAGTCAGGCCCTGAGTCTTTCAAGTGAGTAAGAATGTAAACCAGATAAACCAGTTTCAGTATCATCACTGGCAATGCAATGACACGCATCAGCAAACTACAACAGCATGACATCAGACACAGACAGAGTCTGTTGAGTAAAAGCCTTTCCTTTTTATTTAAATCAAAAGGGGGGAAATTGCAGAATAATCCTTTACAGTTTTAAGATTGATTTAGTAATGAGCTGAATGGCCATTAACCAGGAGGGAAGAGGTTAGGTGTGGGACTTCTGGGGACAGAGAGGTTACTGGGAAGAAAAAAGATGAGGCTGCCAGCTAGATGCAAAGGAAGCAGGACATACTAGAAGAGAGGTAAAAGCCGTGAACCACATGATAGCACATAGACTAAAAGAAATGAGTTAATTTAAGTTATAAGAGCTAGTCAGAAACAAGTCGTAGCTAAGGCCATATATTCATAATTAATAATACATCTCTGTCTTGATTCGGGGACTGGCTGGCGGTCTTTCTTCCTCCCTCCCTATTTGCCTACATACATAAGTATCATTCTGCCATCATAAAGAATGAAATTCTGTAATTTGAAGCAACATGGATGGAACTGAAGAACATTCTGTTAAGAGAAAGTTCCAGATATAGCCAGGGATATAGCTTAATGGGTAGTGTGCTGACCTAAGAGGCACCAAGTCCTGGTTTGATCCCTATTACCATGTAAACTAACCACAAGGGCATATACTTGTAACCCCAGCACTTGAAAGGGAGATGCAGGAGAATCAATTTAACATCATTATTTGGTATACATCAAGTTTGTGGCCAGCCTAGACTATTTAACAGCCTATCATTAAAAAAAAAAAAAAGTACAGACAGAGAAAAACAAATACCACATATTTTCAAAGGAGATAGCCATGATTTTGAGAGAGGGAGAGAGGGTTAGGGAGAGATGGAAGTTGGAAATTTGGTATTAAATAAGTCCTAGTGTTTTGTATCATAGGAGGGTAATTAATGTTTGTATCTATTATGTATTTATGAAGAACTAGAAGAAAAATGATCAAAAGCTCCAAAATTATAAAAACAAGAAAAGATAAAGGTTTTAGTTACTTTAGTTACTACTGCACGTTGCATACACGTGTTGAAATAAAGTATGTACCCCATAAATGTGTTTAATTATTGCATAATGCATGGGAAAATTAAAATATTTTTAAGATCTTTCTAAAACTTTTGCACAACTTTTTGGTGTGTATGTTTATTTGTTTGTTTGTTTGTTTGAGACAGGGTCTCATTACGTAGCTCTGGTTGTCCTGGAGCTCACTCTGCAGACAAGGCTAGTCTCAAACTCCTAGAGATCTGCCTCCGAAGTGCTGGAATCAACATCATGCAACACACATACGAATTGCGTAGCTTTCAATGACAGAAATACGCCAAGCTAAATAAATCTAGATAACATTTTAAATCTAATATACAGTTTAAAATTGTGCCCACTCACCTCATTGTCAAATGTAAGAATTATAAAAAATGCTGTTAATGATTGAACGAAAATGTTGTTCTGATCCTCAACAGCAATGTAATTTAAATAACCACCCCAGGGACTGAAGGGAGGGCTCAGCAGTTTAAATCCAGACGATCCAGGTTGGGTTCCCAGCACTGACTTATTAGCTCAAAACCATCTCCAGTTCCAGGGAAACCCATGCCCTTTTCCGGCCTCTGTAAACACCAGGCATGTGTGTGATGTACAGATGTACATGAAGCAAACATTCTCACACACAAAACGAAAAATTTATGTTTAGTTTTTTTAAAAAAATAGTAGTAATTGTTCACATTTACCAGTGAGCACAATATCAAACAGATGAATGTGAAGCCAACCCTGTCTGTCACCAACAAGTTGCCACCCAGGCTTCTGTTCTAGTCTGTGATCCATAAAGACGTAGTGAGGTTTACAAGCAATCTTGTGGGAAAATCCTGCAGCATAGTGCCTGGGACAGCAAATACTCAGCCACCAGCGTCCATCTCTTAGCTTCTCACTCTACCACTATACTTCACTTCAGAAGTGATTTCATTATAAATACTGGTTGTTGTTTTGTTTTGTTTTGTTTTTTGAAAGAGAGAAACAACGTAAAGATGGGTGGGGAGGGAGATAGGGAGGATCTGGGAGGAGTTGGGGAGGAGAAAAACATATTCAAAATATATTGTGTGGAAAAAAGTGTTTTAAATCTTTTAAAAAAAATAATAAACACTCCTTGCATTGTATTTTTTTCATCTTCATACCAAATGCATTTTAATTTGGTCTGTTACATTTGAGTTGTTAAGTTCTAGTGCATGTGGTCAAAATACTAAGGTAAGTTCTTCATTACTAAGTAAGCACATGGAATGGTTACAGCACAGTCATGCAGAGTAACTCAGCCTTCCTTTTTCACTATTCAAAGCTCCAACAGCTCCATAGATATGTTAGGATGAAAAGCATAATAGAAAAACCCCACTTAAAGACATTTCGAGCAGTTGATGTGCTGCCAAGGGCAGCTCTGAGTGGCAGATTTGGGAGGAAGAACAAAGCGCTTGCTTTACTTTTAGACTTCTATTAAGTTGAGCATTTCATTTATACCACTTAAAGGGCTAGATGTTTGTGGGGATTAGAAGTCCCATTTCCCTCTACAGACTTGGACACCAGGAGAAATCTGGCTCTGCTTCTCTCCTTGTCCTCCAATGAAGCAATTCTGGTACCACACATGTACTCAAGATTACATGTGTGTTTAGTGAAGCCATTTATTTAACACTTTCCTTCTGGTATATGGCAAAAAAAAAAAAATACTCAGCTTCCATAGACATTGGATCCCAAAGAGTTGGTTGAGGAACATGCCTTAGGTGGTTTCTAACAACAATTAAAAAAAAAAGGCATGGATCTGTTCTTAAAGCATTCTTGAGATACGCTATATATTCAGGGCTCCACAATTTATCTTTTTAAGGGCAGCTTATACTGGACTCCAGACATGATTGGCATACTGAAAGGAAACCTATTGGTATATGGTACTTGATATATTCTTCAAAAGACTATTGAGAATCATTTACATTTGTTTTCCCTCCTTTTAATGACTTGTACAAAAGCTATAGGCATCCTTGGGTACCTCTCACTCTGAGAGTAATGAGAGATGAGTAACATGCAATCATTTGATGTTGTAGATGTTAATCTCACCCATATTTGCAGACCAAAGTAATCTTCTTATTCCATTCCAGTCAAAAATCATTCAATTTTTAGAATTAGCCAATCAGTCTACTTTAAACCTTGTAATAGCCATGTACATATTTGGAATAATTCAAATTTCAGTAGGAAAAATAAATGGGGCCAAGTTCACTTCAGTGGCCTTTCTCAACCTTCTTTTAACACTGCACCACAACTATTCATGGAGTCAATGTCATCATGTCATGTGGAAAGCTCACTATGACACCCTTGTAAAGCTAATGAAAGTAACTTCCCACCTTGGAGAAATACATTATCATCATTTCTAGCATTGCAGCCACGAC